ACTGCAAGCTCCAGAGGAAAGAGTGGCTTCCAGGTTAGTTTCCACAGAGGTGTGCAGTGACACAGCAGGTCACTGAGGACGCGTTCACCGGGCGCCTGGCCTCTGGCCCAGCCTCACCAGCATCCCTCCCTCCCTGCTCTGTGCAGACCTGCTCCTCTGGGACCCGGGCAGCCTGCGGGTGATCCCGAAGAACCCTTCCGCGAATGGCGAGGTCCCGGGGGACAAGGCCGAGCAGGGAGTCTGGGGACTGAACTAATTGGGTTTTAACGCGTCTCATGCTGGTGGCCAGCACGGCTGCTCTGTGACCACAATAAAGCGCACACCTCGTGGGCTGCTTTAAAAAGAAGGCCTGGGGACGGAGGGTAGGGACGGGATCGGGAAAAAGAAACATCAGGCCAAAAATAGTCTTCTTAGAACTGCCTTCCGGGCTGTCTGAACCACAACAACAAAGTTCTGATACTCATGCCACCAGCCTTGCCATAACAATGAAGGAAGAGCAAGGAGACAGGAGAGTTCTAATGCCGTCTCCTTGGTACCGCACGCTGTCAATTTCAAGGCGGACGCCATTTCTGACGAGCTCTCCCAAGATTCACTGGGGTTGGCTTCTCATTGCTGGCCAATCTTTTAGTTCCAATAAGTGCACTTACCCAGCTCTGCCTAAAGAAACAAGACCAGAGATGCAGACCAGAGACGTCAGTCCACCTGCCACTGCCCGTAGCATTTTCCCAACATACGACCCAGAGAACGGTCCTGTGGACCATAGAGCCCTGCTGGCCGGCGTCTGTGCCACTGCACAAAGTATGTTTATTTTGTTCTGCTTAAAAATTTACTCCTCCAGTTGCAGGAAGACCAGGCACCGTTTCAGATGACAGCGTTATGTGAACTCTCATTCTCTTCCCTCTAGTATCAGAGCTGCCCCATCATCTGTATTGACTGCCAAACCCCAGCTGACTCGCTCTACTGAGGTCACTCTTTATTTTAAAAAAAACAACACAGGTTGACCGTGAAAGTCACTGATTTATACTCGAACACCTAGCAATTTTTTTAGAACTTTGTGCGATTTTCAAAGCATTCACATAGATAGGCTCATCTTGTGTCTGCGGCTACCACTTAAAGACGATACTCGTGCTCATCTTAAGTTGGCAGGTGGGGACTCTGAGGCTCAGGGTGCCCCAGTCCCAGACACCTAGGGTGTGAGGGGTCAGGGATCAAGGCTTCTGACTCTGAACCCTGAGCTCTTTCCTCAGACTACACCGCCTCCCCTTCCAGTGCCATAAGCCATTCCTAGTCAGCTAATAAAAGCTCCTCCAAGGAATGAAGGAGGATTATTAAGTATCCACCAGGCATCAGGCGGTGAGCCTCCTTCCACTAATATCAACCCTGAGGGAGGGTGAAGGGAGTCACTGTGTCCTCAGCCCCCAAGGTGTGTCCCTCAAGTGGAACAGCCTGAGAAGTTTAAGAGCAAATGAAGAGTAAAAGACATGACTGAGCCAGCAGGCAGGAGCCGGGACCGAGTCCCACACAGGGAGAAGGCAGGCAGTGCTCCCGTGTTTGTCCTGAAAACCGTCCAGTGAACCCTTCTGGCTGAAGACACTCGGCCTCTGGCTTCGTGTCCAGAAAGCGGGGCCGGGCGGTTTATGGTGGCCCCTGACTAGACCAACAACGGGCTCTGGAACCAACAGTGGCTTCTCCGCAGCCTGCCCAGACCTCAGGAACAGCCTGGTGCAAAGGCTCTGCCCAGCAAGGGGGATGACGCTTTGCTCGGTTAATTAGGCTGCTTCCTCTCAGAACTGGTACTGGGACAATGGAGGGGATGGGCCAGAAAAGACTCTGGCCAAGGCAGCAAGGGGCGGAGACGTGAATGTGCGTGTAACTTGGGCTGGGGGGTGGCGGAGGGGACGGAGGACGCAGACACTGGCCAGGAGGGGCGAGGACAGGGACAGAGCCAGGGGCCCAGATGCAGAAGGTCTCTGGTCTCAGACCTGCCTCGGTTCTGAGTAGCTTTCCAGCCCTGACTCAGGTGTATCCTGAATAAATCGTCTCTGTCCTGAAGAGGCCACCATGAGGGACTCTGTCCTGGCAACAAAACAGCCTAACAGCCCAGAGTTGTTTTTACAGAAACTGAACGTTTCCACTAAAGAGCGCTGGCTCACAATCACAGTCAGGACTGGGGACGTGTCACTCACAAGGTGTCGGAGAGGAGACAGACACGCAGGGCCCGCTATCCTGGCTCCTGGGTAACTCTCCCCAGACCGGTGGCCTCTTCCCTCTGAATCTACAGCCCTAGACACGGGCCTCTGATTTCAAGTCGATGAAAGTTACTGAGCCTCAATTACGTGCAAGAGAGCAGGCAGGTCTCGATGAGGTTTAACCAAGCTTATTGTACCTCTGCTTTTTATTGCTAAGTTCATTTCTCCTATGTTATCTGGCTCCGTAAGAACTGGGATCTTGCCTTGTGCCCCCCGTGAAGCCAACGTTTCCTATAACACAGGCACTCAAGAATCAGTGGGTAAATTTGTTTATGGCCTGCCCCTTGTATTTACCATCTGGCCTTCAACAGAAAAAGTCTGCCACCCCCTGCCCTAGATATTTCCTGAGAGTCAGTACGCAGTGGGCCACCATTACTAAATAATGTATTGTTTTCCTCAAGTATGTCCTTTTCCTCAGGGCTGTAAAAGCAAGGTTTACCTTTGGTTGTCCATAACGAAGATCTGAAAAATAGTGGCTTACACAAGATACTTCTCTCTCTTGTGAAAGTCTAAGACTGAATCGACTCCCCAGTGTCAGAGACCCAGGCAACTGCTGTGCTGTTGTTCCCCACACACAGCTTCCACTGCCAAGGTCACACCATGGTCCAGGATGGCTGCCAAGGTACCAGCCGTTACATCCACATCCAGGTAGAAGGAAGGTAAAGGACAGCCTCAACCCAGATTTTAAGGAAACTTCTGAAAATGCCACTAAAACCTTCTCCTTATAAATCACTGGCTAAACTCAGCTACGTAGATACACTTTGCTGTAGAGGAAGCTCAGAAGTGTAGACTTTTAGTTGGCTAGGCTGGTTAGATAAAAATCAAAGTTATATATTTTTATAACGGGGGGTGGGATGTTGAGAGATAACTAGGAATCTCTGCCACAGGAACCTTACTGCCATCCTAGCCCCTTAGTAAGACAGTACAGGCGCTGGGCAGGTTCTCCACTGCACCAGGGCCCCGGGCCACCCCATAGAGTCTATTTTCTGTAAAGTTAGCAGACAGATATCATCTGCAAGCTCCAAAATATATTTAAAATCTGCCAAAGCAGCTGAAACCAAGTAGAAGCCAAATGGGAGGAAGTGAAGAGAAGGAACAGATAGGCAGATCTCAGAAAACACCAGCATAAATACTTCTTCAAGCCAAGGGTTCCAGTTTAAAGTGCAAAGTCTACATCACCAACAAGGGTCAAGACGGGTAAACAAAGATAAATCTGTGTGTAACAAGTGCAGATTTGGGGCAGGAGGCAGAACTACACGAAGAACCTAAGAGATGAATGAGCCATATTTAAAGAGAGGTTGGTTTTTGGCGGTGGAGGGAAAAAAACGCCTTACAGCTGTGAAAACAGCAGTCCTGAGTGACGGCCTTAGCCCCTCCCACCACGCCAGCCCCACCTCAGCCCTGAACCTTGTGCGAAGAGCTGGTTCCGAAAATCCAACGCATTCAAATATGAGTGACAAAAAGGCAACCACACGCACTCCGCTGACGCATCAGCCAAAATACGGAAAAAAGATAAAAGTGGCAGGAAAACTTACTGACGGGGAAGTCACAGAAAAACATTGCCTTTGGAGCACATGAAACTTCTGGCCAAATAGTTTGCAGTGAATTTTAAAAACCAAACGAAGCAATTTGTTTAAGAAGGAAAAGTCACAAAGCAGAAATGACCCCGGTCAGAGACAGGAAGAAAACAGGGAGAATTGAAATGCGAGCTTGAAGACCTCAGAAAAGGAGGGGAAACAAAGGAACTGAAGATGGAAACGGAGTGTGGGCAAGAAGAGACCACAGAAGGCCCAGAGTGGGGAGGTGGGCAGAGAGGGTAACGATGGGGAAGCACCCAAAAGGAAGTGGCGGGAGAGAGTTTTAAAACGTTAGAGAGAAAACAGCAGCAGGCAGAGGAGTCAGATAAAGAGGGGCGGGGACGCATGTCTGGACCCCCAAGGGAGGGGTGAGAAGAAAGAGATCCTTACAGACATGATTCAAGAAAAATTCTCTAAGACCCAGGTGGAGCCAAATCTGATTAGAGAGAGACAAGGATTTACACCCCAGGGAGGGCAGGTCAACACTGAGAGGGGTCCTGCTCTTAAACTTTAAAGATAAAGAATCTTTTAGGAAGAAGAGGAAAACTATCAAGCCCGGCCTCAGATTTCTCTAAATCAGGTTAAACTTGAGAAGACAACTGAGCAACACTTACAAGACCCTCACCAAAAAATGGGTGAGCCAAGGATTTTATATCCAGCCAGGCTGTCATCTAGGTATAAACAGAGAAACACGCAAGAGCTCATGGGATATCTCGCTCATGGGATATCGTTTCCCCGAGTCCTTGAGCACACTTCTAGATTCACATTTAACTCCTAGGACATAATACAGGTCTTGGCGTGTGCTAAGTGCTTAATAAATATTCAGTGAGAGACTAACAAAACAGCTTTTTCTCCACAAACTGCTCTTTCTGCCTCATTTCCTTGGTACTTGGAATGTGATATGGTAAGAGATCACTTCCCAAAACAATACCAAAAAGCTCCAAGATTATTTAAAACCTTCTGTTTCATATCCTTTGTCTACTAAGGCAGGAAAGATTAAAAATGTATTTTAGAAAGATTTTCAGAAAGCACTGATATGCTGAATGTTCACTATAAATTCCGAATACATTTGTATCTTATGCACTAGGTTGCAGCAAAATTTTATAACATACTTCCACATGCCATTTGCCACATGTAAATAAAAAAGGATAAACTCAGAAAGTTTCTTACTTACTTTGGATGTTCAAACTTGTCTATAAGATCAACTTTTTCCACCAGGTCTCCTCCAATTGTTCGGACTAAGTCATAGAAATCGTTCTCTGTGTAATTCTCGCGAGGTAACCAGAATGAGATGTCGTTGATCACAGCAGGGTATTTGCTGAGAGGCTAACAAAATGAGAGAAGAAAAAAAGAGATTGATTAGTTAGTTGGATGACAACGTTTAAGTTTTTCATGGCAAGTTTCACGTGGGCTAGTTAGAAAATGCTGGCAAGACATTATTTCAGTGCTTGCATTTTCAGGAACCAAATGAACTTAAAAGATAAGTCAATATTCAAAATTAGCAAATTCCATTATGAATATTATAGATTCTTATCACTCTCATGTGTAACACTACCATATATTATACTCACATTGCCATTAATGTGCAATTTAGTATAAAGCAACTTGAATATATCATATTTCAGTTTTTTTCCATTTGAATACTAGACGAGAAAAGTCCACATTTAATTAACAAGCAATTCATTAACTTCTGTGATACTTTCAGGAAGCCGTTTTTATAGAGAAATAAGTAAGGGCTTGTCAAAATTGATATTTCAATTAGTAATGTCATAATTTGTTAGTATTTCTAATTATTAAGGGAGTACTTCTAATTATTAATTATATAGGGGGTTATTTTTCAAATTATGCTTCTAAGGATGTGATAGACACAAAGGTAGCCATGCCCCCATTTTATCCCATTTTTTCCAGTTTATTAGGGCTCACTAACTAGTTCATTATATTAGATACATATATTTTTAGAAGTTACCACATTTGTTTACATGGCTTAAACATGTACATCACAAATACATATTTATATATATTACAAACACACACATATATATAGATAGCTGTGATGTAAGTTACCGCCACAATAAAAAATGTTTCATTAAACGTTTCATGACATAACTATGAAATCCATACAACTAAGGAAATATCTGCCAATCTGTTAGGAGAACAAGTTTATAAATTGACCAAGCCTGCACCGTAAACCCCCTGGTGAATCACTGATTAGAAAAATATAAAACTTTTTAAACGGCAAAACCTCTGAAGAGCCAAGTACTCAAACATAAATGATTATTCAACTTGAAATATCAATAAAGTTGTCAAAAGCATCGGTTCAGAACACACATTTCAAACGAACATAATAAAGCTATCACCCAGGTGCTCCTGACAAAGTACCACAGCTCCTGAAAAACACCCTGTCTTCTTGGAGTCAAGCTGCTGTGATAAATAACACGCGGGTTAATGTAACACTGCGAGATGGTGGCAACTGGGTGGTTACACAGCGCTTTTTCTTTTCCACTTAAGGAACGTGGAAATTCAGGGGTATTCGATAAGAGGCAGGGGTTGCCAAGAATTAGCATGAAATCGCCTCTTCGATGACAGACACGGGAGGAGGGACCCGACTGGGCACTGGTGTCAGGAACCCGAGAACAGCGGTCAACGTGATAGTGCAGTCAGCCAGAGTACAGGCCCCAAGACGTTAAAAAATACATGGTATATGTTACGGTAAATACATAAAACCAAGGAGAAAAACCCAGACCATTGTACTGCAAACCTAGTTCAAGCTAACAAGTGGGAACAAGTTCAAAGTAATGGTGACTGGTTCCTTGCGAACTTGCAAGCAGGGTCGAACCGGAGGCCTTTCATGGCTCCTGAAACGTCCTCTCTCTCACTTCTCTTCTTGCACGTGAATATCTTTTCATCGTTTTCTGTTTGTTTGTTTTTTTTCCAGTGAAAGCATGTGGGAAGCAAACTCTCAGAATCGACACGGCTGAAATCCCCACTCGTGAATCATCCGGCAAAGCACAAAACTGTAGGTTTACCGTTGTCTCCCCTCAGCGCTTGGAAAATTCTTCTCTGTACCCGTTAGCAATGACGACAAGTCTGCTGTCGGTCGGAGCTGCTTCTGCGCAGGGAATCTGTCATTGCTCCCTGGCAGCGTGGAAGGGCTTCACCTTTATCCTGGCAGCTCTGATGAGGCCGGGCCTGCATTTATCTTGGGGTATTCTGCCCGGGAGTCAGCGTGTGCTTCCACTCAGAGGGTTCATGTACTCATCCAAGTCGGAAAATTTCAGCCACGACTCCTCTGTCCTCTTCTTCTAGGACCGCGATTCTCCGTATTGTGGGGCTTCTCGATCTGTCTTCCATTTCTCTTACCTGATTGATTTTCGGGTTTTAATCTTTACGTATTTGTGCTGTATTCCGGGTGAATTCTTCAGAAACAGCTTCTTATTTACTAATTCTCCCTTCAGCTGAGTCCAGTCTCATAGTCTCATCTGTTTGGTTTTTTTTCTTCTTCTCTATTTCAGAGAATCTATTACTCATTTCTGATATTTCTAATTGTTTTCTTCCATATCTACTTACACTTCATTTTTGCCTGTTTTTCCCTCTTATTCAGAATTTCCTGTTCTTCTTCTTGTTTTTATGGTTATTCTTCTTCCATTGATCTCTTTGCGGACATTAGGCTTTTTTTTCTTAAAGAATGCCCTTGCTTTTACTTTGCTCTGCGGTGACTCAGATTCTGAGGGTGGGTTTGGTTGCTGACACGCTCAGGTCAGAGTTCCTCACGTGGTTTGGGGTGTGTGTCTGCAGGCCCGTCTGGGATGGGAATAACTGCAGTGTTCTCTCACTCACCACCCCTCCTTGGTCAGAGGTTTCTGTGGTCCCTCCCTCCCCTTGTGCTCCTGGCCCAGATCTAGTTGGTGGTGGCATCTGGGTTCCTGCCCGATGGTGACAGGGCTGATGATGCCATGGCGGTGACTCATCTCAGTTCCTGATGAAGAGGCCAACTCTCTTCCTGGGCTCAAAGCTCCTATGAGCTAGAGGTCACAGCAGGCAGTAGTTTGCAGCAGTGGTGGCTGCCCCCCTTTTAGAGGAGGGGACCGCCTGCCCCTACTTTCCAGCAGAGATCATGCTCTGGACCAGCACATCCTGACTCCCCACCAGAGCCAATCACTGTTTCCCTGCCTAGGAACCTGCAGCCCGCAGCGTCTTCGACCTCACTCTCTGCTCTGTCTTTGTGTTTGTCTCTTGTGCATGGATAAATGTATTTTCAGGGGGAATAAGGGAAGGCGTGGTTCTGACTTTTTCACGTTCTCTTTTTATCTATCATGGCTGTGTGTTCGGAGACGGTAAAGAGCAGTTTACAAAGCAACAACGACCTGACTCTAAATTTCCTTACACAATGGTTCTTAACTTCATGGGGGAGGGACACAGATGTCTCTGAGAATATGATGAAAGATTCAAATTCTTGTTCCAGAAAAGTACATACTTTCACAAACACTGATTTTTCCATAGAACATCTGGGATTCACAAACCTAGTAAAAGTCATTCAAGGAGTCAGAATAAGGACTGCCCCCCGTCCTTGACCCACATTCAAAATTGTGTCATGAGTTCAAATACAACAGACAATGGAGATTATGGTACTAAGGGAGTTAAAAATATCAGAATCATTCTTTACTAACATAATAAATACATGTATGTGTGTCTCCTTTACATGCATACATGTGAAGGATGTATAGTTTATGATAGTAAAAAGCACACATGAAGGCATCATCGTTTGTCTTGTGGTAGCTACTTGAAATGCAGTCATACTTATATAATAAATTTAAAACTCTGCTTTTTATGGGCTGGACTAAGAAAGCCCTTACTGCTGCCCCTGGGACAACACTGAAGGGCCATCCTCGTCTCAGAGCTCCCCAGGGGTTGGCCGAGCCCTCTGGTGGCAATGCCTCACAGCCCAACCTCCCCTCCCGCTCTGTCTAATCCTGCTCTCCTCTCCCTTCCCCCTCCATAGGCATGGACCCTGACAGCACCTGGTTAGAAGCTTCCAGAAGGCTAACCTCTGTCTGAGAATCTGCTCTCCGGGGAACCTAACCTGTGACTCCAAAACAGAAGCAACATGTCAGCAACCAGTTGACGAAAGAATTTAGTGCATCCACGGGGACAGCAAGCCTCAAGGGTCATGTGCTCAGAGTGAGGCCGATCTGGATGGGCACAGGGGTCCCTCTCACCAGCTGCGTGACATGGTGCCTGCAGCCTCGCCTGAAGCCCCCTCAGCCTCTTGTGATCCCCCCGGAGGGCTTGGGAGGCCCGTGAGGGGCTGCACAGACCACCCCCTCCTCGCCTCCTGGTCTCCCCGCAAGCTGCGGGGTGGGCAACCTCTCAGGCGTGGTCTAGACCCGGCTCTTCAGCAGCAGGGCACTCCACCACTGTCATCAGCTACCCTGTTACAGATTGAGTTGTGTCCCCCCAAGAAGATACCCTGGAGCCCGAACCCCCAATAACTTAGAATGTAACCTTACTTGGAGAAAAAGTCTTTACAGAGACACTCAAGTTAAAATGAGGTCACTGGGGTGGCATCCTTAGAAAAGGGGAAATTCGGGCAGAGACGTGCGTGCAAGGAGGCCTCACGCAGGGAAGCTGGACACGGGCGACGCGTCTGCAGGACAAGGATGCCCCGCATGGCCAGAGCCGGGGCAGGGGCCGGGAGCGGGTCCTCCCCGCAAGCCCTCATAGGAGCCGGCCTTGCTGCACCTGGGCCTTGGGCCTCAGCCCCCAGGACCAGGGGAGAATGGGCCTGCTGAGACCCCTCTGGGGCTGCGCATCCTTCTGGGCGTGGGGGACGGGCCAGGCGGAGCTGGCGCCTCCACGTCCGTGGAAGAACAGCTGTCGAATCTCAAGGTGGCTTTGCTGGAGCTTTGAGCCAAGCGTCAGGCCTTGGTCTTGGCCTTGCAGGTGTGTTCACTCGTCTGAGGAAAGCCTACCTCACGGTTTCCTCGCCTATACAACGGAGACGGTGTCTACTTGAGCAGACTGCAGTGAAGATGCCATGAAATAACACTCATGAGGCACATCCTTAATGGTTTTCCAGCCCAAACAGATTCGGACAGTTCAATGCATGCGCGATTTTGACAGCTGTCCAAGACCCGGGTACCGAAGTGACCAGGGTGGGGAAGGAGCTAGTTGAAAAAGTGAGATTTTGGTTTAATGGTGCCCGTCCTAGCTGGCCCCTTGCTCTGGGCTCACCCCTCCCGATATGTGAGATGCAAATGTCTCCATGCACCTTCTAAGCTGCAGACGTCACAGGTGCCCTTCCTATCATCCATGATAAAGTCCACGTG